CTATAATTTAAGCATGCTTTAAGCGGTGCCCTTCCCATTAGCTCTTCTAAAGCACAGCCACATCAGTCCTACTTCTGAACCACACATCTCTACACAAAGGATTTATGTGACTGCCAAACCACAGGGCACCAGCAACCATTTTTGTGCTTGTGAAGCTTCACCAGCTGGAGTGCACTGCATGAGTTAATTGCTCAGGAGAAGGTATCCAACTGGTCTGTGTTCTTGAAAGCTTACCCTTCCACACTTCTTTTTTTTATACAGCTATATATTGCAAACTGCATTTTAAGCCTAAACACAGTCTTTCATTCTTAACCTCTGTGTTTATGCATTTTATTGAATTTTTGAAGATTGGATTCATTTTCAGCATTTGATTTGTTGCAGTGACATTGGGCTGGCTGCCCAACTTAACCATGGCTGCTACTCTTGGATGATGGCCTGACCATTAATTATTTCCTTGCTGAAACTGCATTACCACAAAATAAATTTTGTCATAATGACATTAAGTAAAGGCCACAGAAACCTGTACAGCATTAGAAATTTCTTCTTGGAAGCTTTTTTATCCTTTTTCTTCACATTATCTAAATCGAGAATGAGATATCATTTAATATTTTCCCAGTTTATGAATAAACAGGCCTTGTATTTTCCTTGCTGTAAATATAACAACATCAGCATTGAAGTAATTATCAAATCATAGACATTGTCCTGCAATCTTTATAAATTCAATCTCCCAAATAAGACAACAAATTTAAGCACAAAAAGATTGAATCATGTCAGGTTAAGTTTGTTACCATCTTTAGTTTACAGGATATAACAGTTCTTCATAAGACAAGTCTCAGTAGGTAAAAAGGGTTTGATAAAATACTTATTACTCATTCTTACAAATATGGAAATTTTTAGCCACAAAACTAAAAAGTAAACTATTTAGGACTCTAATGAAAGACCTTGAAGTGAAAGGAAAAGCAAGAGCAAAATATTTATAATTAAGAATGAGCACCCCATAGATTCATTGTTAGCACAACTGAGGTGCCAACAATATGTATTTTGGTTACTTGTATCAAAATCCTGCAATTATCCTAATATGCAGTAATGTCATTGCCCTTGAAAATACTGCTTTCCTCTAATAATTTAAGAAGCAGATCAATTATAAAATCATGTGGTTTGGTCTTGCTGTTGGTGATGTCACTCTGTTGCTGAAAGACATAAATATTATTAATTCTTTTCCACTTCTATCATTCCCAGTCTGCTCCATCAGAGCAGCCCATTACCCTTTATGTTAGATTCATGTGGAAAATAAACCACAATTTTTTTTCCAGCAGAATACTTTTAAAGAAATATCTGCAGAGGTGATTTACCACTGAGAATATAAACAGAGTTGGAGACATTCAGTTATCTTTTGCTGCATTAATCCAATTCCATTTTAGCTAACAGCAGCCTGATGTTCATTATCCTTCCAGAAGGTAATCCTTGCTTGCCAAATATATGCTTTTCCAGTAGCTATTATGCTTCTAAGTATTTTCTCATTGTTTTCTGCTACACAGTGTATTATTTAGAAATAATAATTTTGTAACTTCATCATTGGTTTGAAACATCTCACTGCAATTTGATGATGAAGAATAAACACAGTACCAGGTTAATACATTTAGAGTAAATGTCTTTGGCTACTTTAGATTTTTTTTTTTTTTGCTCAGTTACAAACCAGTAAATTCAGTGAGTTTTATAGATTAGAGCTCAAAAAGGCCATCACAATGGGTAATGGAATAAGACTGACATTTTTGCATTATTGTTTTAAATAGGGATTTTATTACCTGCTCCAGCACAATCTACAGCCTTTTTCCTTTCCTTTGCTCATGTGGGTTTGACCAGCAGTCTCAAATTTTAGTTTCATTCTAGCGCAGAGAGACTGTTTTGCACATGATTTTGTGCAGCACATATAACTCAGCTGCCAGGTTTGAGACTTTTCAACCATGGAGAACATCCTGGTATCAAACCTGCAGCCAGAGCTTTGTTGTGCTTGCTGCTGTGCAGAGAGGGAAGATCATAAGCTTACAACATAAGCAAAGGGATCAAAGTGTAAAATAGCAAGTATGGAGTAAGGGAGAAAGGAAGGTATTTAATTGTCACACCAGACACACCAGTTCCCTTTCATCAGCTTGCATCATCAATCTAAAAATGTCCTGCAGAAGATTGCCACTAGTACTTTTGTGATGTCCAAAGGAAAAATATTCACAAAACTGTACCTCTCAAAGCCCAACCCATCCCTCAAGGGGTTGTGCTTGTTGCAAAATCACTTTTAACAGAATTGATTAGCTTCTTCATGTGCACAGCCCTGGGAAAGAATATATACTATTGTTTGGCCTTATAATGACACTGAGATAGTCTAACTACCTGGAGTTATAAATGTTCCCATTTCAAGCAGCAAATTCATTAATTTCATGGAGGTAAAAACATGCTCTAACAGGGTAGAGAATACAGACGCTCACAGCATCACGGCTGTGTTCCCCTACTGTTGCTCTTGTGTGATGAGTTATCAAAATATTTTTACCTGGTTCCCATTATTATGGGCTTCTTGGGCCCCCTCCAAAATAACCATCCCTGTCTATCTGATTCTAATTTTTTTTTTTATAGGAGCTCCTTTTCTCTAAAATTTGTAGTACTTTAGGAATAAAGTAGCAAGAAAATATACAAGTACATAAACAAGAGCCTGTCTTGATCCTTTCATCCAAATTACATCAAGAGGCTAGCCTGTGGAAAGAGCTAATGATCCAATCAGCATAAGAACACATTAAAAATTTTAAATCTAATACATTATCTCTAGATGCAGATTTGTTATGTAATTATACATCTGAAGAAATTGAATATTTTTATATGATTGATTTTTCTGTTGCTGTAGTCTCTAGCAATGATCCCTTTAGCATTTAAGTTCCTAGTTGCATTCCACATAAAAAGTTTTGAATGACTGTTGCTTGACAGAGAGGTCTTCACTGACAAAAGCAGGAAAGTAGCAATGAGGGGAAAAAAGGATGCTACAAATAGATACAGAGGGACTTCAAGCCCTGGGAGCCTCCTGGGATCTTTTTGCATTCTTTGTCAGCATGATGTTGGCAAGTTGCTTTCATGCAGTTCATGAGCTAATGCAATCTCTATGATGTGTGCTCCCAAGCAGTTCAGCAGAAACACAAACTGAAGTGGCAATAAGCAATGAATCAACAACCCCTTGCTGAAATGACAGTAAGCAATGAATTAACAGCCTGCTAGGGCATCCTTGAATCTGACTCCTGTGTCATAGGGATTCCTGCACTACAAATGAAACATCAGTCTGCTTCCATTGCCAATATGATCAAAATTAGGAAGTAGCCAATACAGAGTGGCTGTACTTAGTCATATACTTGTTTGTGCCATGTTGTGCACTGCTCAGTCCCAAGAGCCCGATATATATATATATCCATGTACACACATACACATATATATATATATATATATACACACACACACACACCACCTGTGGAACAAGAATCAAATCTACAAGTATTTGCCCCAGCATTTATTACAAGCTGCGTCTGGAGGAAAGGGCTTCTGTCAGGGATGCTTGGAAACACACTTTAAGTTTGCAGTTTCAAATAAATCTCAGCAGAAATGTAAAACTTAAGCAAGTTGTACTCTCTGCTTCTCATGCCATTCTCCTTCTCTCGGTGTTTGATTTTAAGGAGAATATGGTAGCAATAGCTCACCAATTTTACTTTAAACTCAGTTAAAATGAGGTAGCTCCTGGGCAGGCAGCTGTAGCTCTGCACATTTGCATGTGAGCCCAAACAGCCAGACAGGAGCACTCACACACTCCCTCTTCTCTCTGCTCTGGGCTAGGAGAAGAAAGACCTGTTGTTGTTTTTGAAGGTACCAGAGGTGCCATATGATCCACACACCTTTGCTGTGCTGCTTTTTGAGATTTCCTGTCAAACTGACACAGCACAAGACAAGACATGGGCTGTTACCATTAAAGTGGCTGGTTCCACTTCTATATAGAAATATTGGTTATGACCCTTTTTGCTATTTGTGAAATTGGGAAACAAAGACACATGACAAAATAAGCTGCTGGAATAGCCATCTTGTCTTTATTTTCTCATCCATTTTCTAAACAGGCAATATTATTTCAAAAAATCAGAAATGAAGTCATGGTCAAAACCACACATAGAATAACTTAAATAAACATTTTTCTTTTCAAGATGATTTAAGTATAGGATAAATAAAATATATTATTTTGGACATTCTCCATAAACAGCTCATATCCAATAGTTTCCCCATTAAGTATTCAGAAAATCAATATGTATTACTTAAACTTCTCTGTCACTGACTGCATCTTTAGAGGAACAAGTTGGCTGGAAAAATGAGATTTCACTGAAGAATAAACCTGTAGAAGTTATGTTTCTTAATGTTTATGCATCCTTAATTGTCTCTTGTCTCTTGAACTCAACCTACAGCAAACTGGTTTTATCTGAGTGGGACTGGAAGCTGTCGGTGCCACTGCTTACCTTAGCTTAGCTTAGCTATGCAGTGCTGCTTGGACCAAGGAGCAATGGGAAACACTAGGGATCAACCACAAAGCTGACACTGAGGCTAAGCTCCTGAGAAACCATCCTCTGCAGAGCTGCTCCTTGTTCCTATAAGGGAATATATTGGCTCCATTCAGCCCAGAGATGGCCCAGCACTCGCTTCAATCAGCTAAATCTAACACACACCTACTGCTTGCACAAGGGGAGGCCTTTGCTGTATTGAAGATATTAATCTAGGTCAACAGCCCAGAGGCTGTGGTGCCAGTCCTGCACACAACTCCTATAGGACTGTCTTACCCCAGTGGTTACTGCTCAGACTGACTTGGCACCTAAGAGAGTCCCTGTACAGCACTGCATGGACCAGAGGAGCAAAATGCAGCTTCAACTCAGAGAACTCACAGCCTAGGATAATGTAGTCCTGCTCCACAACAAAGCAAGGCTGCTGGACCAGAGGAGCAAAATGCAGCTTCAACTCAGAGAACTCACAGCCTAGGATAATGTAACAGTCGTCCTGCTCCACAACAAAGCAAGGCTGACACAGCTGGAGCTGTGTCCTCTCTCCATGTCACAGCCCAGCATAACCCCAATGTCATAAAATAATATCGCTGGAGCTCATAATATTTAGCATTAACTAGATGGACAAAGAGTAAATCTTAGTTCAGTGCATTAGACATTAGCTTTTTGTTTTTAAACACTGAGCTGAAGAACCAGTTTCCTTCTGGTCTTTCTCATCAATACCACTCTTCTACAGAATTACTACAAAACACTGCAATATTCTAATATCCGCTTAAAATAACTGAGCAGCTTTGATGATGGTCTGCTCCATCCTAACCTGAATCTTAATCCAGTCAATCTTCGTATTTTTTTCTTGTCACTTTTCATTGCCAACTCTATTTCACCTCACATCTTGTTTAGTGTCTACTCTGAAACCTCAGTTCCTATAGGCAAGTGGTTAAAAGAAAATCTTGTTTCATGTTGCAGTTTCTAGGTCTCATAATTTCACCAAAAGGCTTGAAAACATGTCAGCTTAAAGAAAGCAAATAAAAAACTCTAAGGCACTTTTTAAACAAAATTCTTATCACTTTTACAAGAAGCTTATAATCTGAAGAGGTGAGGTGGGTGCCTGAGTCACAGAAATTTCTAAGTCCTTGGGGTTTAAATGTAAGGATTCCTCTTCACCTTCCTTTTCTTCTGCTTTTCTACTCTTCTATTTGATATGAGGAACGAAGGTGCCCAAATTTCTGGTAGAAATCTTCTTCAGCACGATTCAGAGCTTCCTCATCTATGTAGACAGCTGGTCTCCGGGAAGCCAGGAAGTACTGCACTTTCCTGAGGCTCCATCCCATCACGTACCTCAGCCAGCCGCTGACAGCGGCTGTGGACCTGCCAACGCCAGCATTGCAGTGAACATAGACTGTGTGTCCATTCTGCAGCAGCCCGTGCAGGAGGCACACAGCTTGTGGCAACATCTGGATTCTTCCTAAGGTTGAAAACAAGGCACGTTCATTTGCACTGGACAAAGTCAGCTCATGGCTGAGATTCTGCCTGTACAGCCTGATGAACTGTGAAACATAATGGCAGACCTGACATATTCCACTTTTTTCTTTCTTTTCTCAAGTGACTTTCTAGGCTAACTTGTTTGTTTTTTTTCCTTGCAATATAGAATCAGATCACACAAAACTGTAAAATGCCCCAAGTCTTCTCTAAATATACATTCTGATAACATCAGATGTATGTGGCATATTCATTTTCAAAGGAACTGAGACAAGGCAGCACATTATAGAGGACAGCACAACTTACAGAGTGTTAAAGTTAGCAAGCCAAAAATGAATTTTTTTTCCTTTTTAATACCAAAGGTTTGTGAAGATATCTACATACTGCTGATTTCCAAAACATTTCCATGAAGGCCATCAATTCAGTAAGTGAGAAGGGAGGAGGAGCAGAAGAACATTTTACTGTACAACTTAAAACTGTTATGATTTCACTGTGTACTAAGACCACAGTCAAACAACACAGAATAGCCTTTCTCACTCCCAAAGGAATGGACATACCACATTTTCTGACACTTTTCTTCTGGCTATCCTGGGAAACAGAGCTGCAAGAAGCAGAACCCAATTTTTCCTCATGGCCCATATGAGCACTGACATTAAGCCCTTTCAAATCCCTGTTTTAAGGTCTCCCGTCTTCCCTGATGCCCTGTTGTTACCTGTTTGAGGCAGTGGTATTTCACTGTGTTGAAAGCACTCGCTTCTGCTGGCAGGCTGCTCACTTGAAAACACACTCACTTTCTAACCTTCTGGTTGAAAACAAGACTTCGAACTGAGCATTCCAACCAAGGACTTTAAAAGTACTAGTAATTGATGTTACAGCTCAGGTGCTCTGAGTATTTTCAGTTAATTGCAAATGATTATATAAATGTTGCTATGGAGTTTCATCAGACTGGGATACTGCAGTTAAAGTGTTTGTTTGGAAGGGAACAGAAGACAAAAAACACTGTCTCTCCTTTTTTAATCAGCAAAGGTGGCAAGCTGCCCTGCTCTACAAACTTGCAGTCTTCCACCTACACAGCATATTTTCATTATATAGGCTGAACTCAAGCTGAAAGTAAAAATAGTTAAGCAGTTATTGATGTCAGATTGCTTTAAACTCAAACACAAGTAATGCTGCCAGACACAAAGTGCTTCAGATAGCCTCTCTGCCTACAAGAAAATATGAATAATTTGTTAAAGACAGCACACAAAGAAACTACACCTTGTGTTCCAGCTATATTTTCATGCAAAATGTGCACAGAACTCCTCCCCTCCCCGCCAGCTGTCATGAAAGTGACAAATTATTAACTCCAAGTGTTTGTTGCTATTAATTTACTGCAAGAGTGACATGAGCATTACCTTCAGTGCTCATGTCTGCAGTTGGCAGCCAGACATAGGCAAGACCTTCTTCCTTATACAGTTTCATGAGGATTTCGGGGCTCATGGGTTCTGGGTAGCGGTTGCAGCCCCAGGAATTTTGGACAATGTCAGATTCAGTCTGGAAGTTCATCACAGCTGTAACACCCAGCTCATGCTTCAGCTTGATGGTCACGTGCTCCAGCTGCCGAGGGCAACTTCCCAGCCAGATGTTTGGCAGAATCCTAGCATTGAGAAAACAGTGGGATTGATGACAGTATCTTAAGGAAACTGCCAAGTTCCAAACCTGCTTCACATCATCACACAAACACTGCTAAAGCACAGGGTTTTCCTGTCAGGCAGTAACTTCTTATTTCATTACAACTTCTTTTTGTTACAGTTGAGTTGGTGATGTCTGATGCTGGGGATCAAGCTCCTAGACTACCCATACATACTGAAAAAAATTTCAGAGCACAGTTATAGCACAGGTCTCCAGTGCATCATTCATCACTAAGCTTGAAGTAGAAGCTTACTAACATCAGGGATGAAAATAAGAAAACTCTGACGATTCATGCAATTTGTGCACACAGAAAAACAAAATAAAACAAAAAACCACAAAAAACCGAAACAAAACAAAAACCCCAAAGACAACAACAAAAAACCCAAAGAATTCACATGATCTAAATCTGCATTACTTTAGTAATAAGTCAAACATAAAGAAGTCTTCCAACTCTTTAGCTACCACTATAATGAGGGTAAAAGGCATTTTGAACAACTCTTCTGTGATGAAACTTGAAACTTAATGAGTAATTTTCTTCTAATTTTTCTCTGATCTCTTGGAGGCTAGTGGGAATCAAACATATGTACAGCTTCCCTCAAGGCCTGAAGGACCAGAAACCTTTCAGCAAAACAAGAGGCTTATGTTGGATGGGAAAGTATCAGAACATGGTTGTTTATTGAAATCAAACTTCAAGACTTCTATGGTTTTCCCATTGCTGATTATCATAAAACTATTGTATACTTCAACAGATGTTGACATTATAAACTGAATATTTAGAAACTTGTTTTCAAATGAGGAGTTTTAATATGCACATGCAATTAAATTGATGGCATCTACAATGGATTATTCAGATGCTCAAATTATTAGTGATCTGCTTTAATTTCTTTTTGCTTCTATTAACTTCGATTTTGAATGTGTAATCCACAAACTAAAGAAAATATCCCTACACTTAACACAAAACTTTGCAAACCTTATTAACTGCAACAAATCTGTAGCACTTCTAACTACAAACTTAGCAAACACTATTAAATGCAAATCTACAACAAAAGCAAGATCCTCAAAAATAAAATGTCTGCCATGTATGTCTTATGATCTTTCCCAGTTTTAACCTCAGCAATAAATAGGGAAAAGTTTTATGTTTTCTCAGGAGCCTATAAACCACTCTTAAATCATCAGGTAGCTATTTCCATTTTACTGTCACAGTAATAAGTACTAGCATTTAATTAAGACCTGTAATTGACTGTAATTATTAAATCCTGCTATATTAGTACTGCAATATTATCAAAAATAAAAATTCAGATCCGAAAATAAGTAATTATTATTGTTTCCTGTTTGTAATTATTGTTATAACAATAATTGCTATTGTTTCCATGGTGAGTTGCATACTAGCCACACAAACACAGCCTTTGGCCTTAACAGCCCGTGTTTCAATGGGACAAAACACTTGATCTCAATATATGGTAACTGAGACCAATTTAAACAATTTGCTATTACATAGCAAATAACCATTTCAATAATGTTCCAACAGTGAGATCACTTGACAAGATTTGACTTAGTTTTTGTTTTACATACATGTTCAAGAATTGCCCAAAATCCAACATAACCAGCTCAAGCATTCCCACTGATCAGAGGGATGGGCAAAGATCCACTGCAACAACTTCACTACACCTTCCCACGTGCCAGCCCCACAGCAACCCCCATCCTAATGTGAGCAAGTGACTGCTGTCAGGATTCTGCCACAGGAACCTGCCACCATGATTAGGGCATTTCAAGGTGCTGAGTGTGAGCTACAGTGCCCTAACAGATGCTGACAAATGGCTGGAGATGAGCAATGGCCACAAAACTCCATTCCCGAGACAGAGAAATGGCAATGTCACTAATAACTTGTGACAATGAGGATATAATTTCAAAAACAAAACATTAGTACCCTTCCTTCAAAGGCTTTCCTGGAGACTCATACATATGTAATTCACTTGATACTTTGTGAAACATCTAATGCACTAAATTACCTTGATGGGAGGAAAAAACATGTGTTTTCTAGGATTTGATTAAACTAAAAGTGACTGAAGCATTCCTGAGATAAATAAAATTCTGAGTGGTACTCTTGCTTACTGATAAACCCATGCTATATAATTTTTCCCCCAATGATTTCTTAATGGGTGAACATCAGAGCTGTGCTATCTGCAAGACCCCTGGGATATAGACCATTTGTTTATTTTGTTCTTGCAGCCTCACAGGTCTTGTACATGACAAGACCACGTGTATTGCACAATACTAATTGCATTTACTGAACAATCTGAAGAGTTCACCAAATTTTTATCACTGTCTTTCCCCACAATTAACTAAACTAGTGGAGTCATTCAGAGAATGACCTAAGAGATGTACTTAGGAGACGTAATTCTTGAGAATTAATTTTATGGTCAGGTCCTAAAGTTTAGCCTTAGAGAGGATCAAGATGTAGCCTTGACCTTGGTCTACAAGCCCTTTATCTACCCGCCTACAAAAAACTGTAACTCTTGATCTTGCTGGCCAAGGCTTAACCACCCTTTTACCATGCAGCAAACAGTACTGCAGAGCTGTCCTATAAGCCAATTTATGTAAAATTCTAGGATAATCCTATTGCATGGTACCTATATTTCTATTTAGCTTTATCTAGTTTAAACCTTGCCTTTTTCTGACATCAGAAGGAAGGAATAAAAGGGGTTGGTGCATGTGTGAGTACAGAGACTAATGGAGAGTTTAGCAGCTCTATTTTAAATATAGATTTTTTTGGTAGCCCTACTGAGGGTTTCATTATGCTGAGGACCAGGAAAACATACATATTGAACCAAGCAAGAATGTGGTAATTTCATTTTTACATCTCTTTCCTTAATGATATAACTTCTAGTTTTCCTTTTCAATGTGGCCCTTCTTTAAGTTGCCACTGAATTTCAGTAGGTAGCCAGATTTTAGCCACAAGACCATTTGGCAAGGGAAAGAGAGCTCTTTTATGTTCCCCTCTAAACTGTCAAGCTATAGTACTCTGAGCTCTCTGACAGCCACTGCTTTCCAGCTCACATGTGGGTATATTCCAGCAGCAGTTTGCGTGATCCCTAAGCACATCAAAAAATATTAGGAAATTATTAGTGATCAATAGACCTTTAATCTTTTCAGCTGAACCCCTTTGATGTTCCCAAAATATCAAAACAGGATGGTGTTTTAGCAAAATTCTACTTGAAATTTTGCTTTAATATAAACATGGCATTTTGTCAATGTGCATCTTCACTCTCTGCATCAAGGATAACAAACCATGTTTGGCTCCAGAAGACACAGTCAATTCAGTCAGAGACAGTTTATCAATGAAGAAATCACCTAGAGTGATTCAAACATCAACAATATCTAGTGATCTTCTGAGATTAAGACTTGAAGATTGTCTATAAACCCTTTCTTTATAGTTACTTTCTGTCAGCTCCTTTCAGCTACACTTCAGTTCCCCACCAGCAGTATGGATACAATATTTACCTACCTTAAGGGGACTTCTAGGGGTCCAATGCATGAATTAATGCAAGAAGCTTGAGGTTGTGGTAACAAGGACTAAATGTTAGGCAAATGTTATTCAGTTTATTTTTACAGAGCCCAGACTGAAGGCTGACATATTTAAAACCTGCTTTTTGACTTCTAAACTGAGAAAACCAACAATTATTTATCATTACCACTGAGTAAATATGGAACACCCTGCAAACACTTGTACACTTCTTCTCCAGAACACTTAAATTATTTTTAATGATGTAGACATATATTGTGTTTGTTGGCTTTCCCCCAGGTCCCCACACAGTCTAGATTAAAATATAACAATGCAGAGTGAATACATCTAAAATACCAAATATATTCCATTTAATCAATGTGTATGCAAATGTTCTTCCCCATCCCTAAGGAGAAAATGAGTCTGAGGCAGTGAAAAATTAGCATTGCGAATTTTTATTTTTTTTTTATTGGTGCACACCAATTTTCAGGCTGGTTTACAAAGCACGACACACCATACCTTTCAATCTTAGTACAATAAAAACAGCCCAGCAACTGTAATTGTAGGGATGTGATTTCCAGGGAAAGTGACCTGACCTAGGGGAACACACCAAGTTACTGCATCAGGCAGTCAGCTCTTCCTCCATGACACCAATGTCTACTCTGATTCTTCAGCAGCTCCAGTTTTACTTTTGCTAATAATGCTTTGAGACAAACAGATCCTAAATTGAAATTTCCTTAAAATGCTGAGTTGCAAGCTGGGATGACTCAGGTGCTGCTTCCAGACCTGAGTGTGCTAGGAGAAGGCATCTTAGAATCTACCCTAAAATTAGTCAACCCACTAAGAGGTGCAGTTCTTATAGAAAGGAATAGGATTTGGCACTTTAGGAACACATTTCATGAGAATATCTATCAGGTACTGACAGGTGTCCTTTTATCATGATAGTTGCCAGCTTTAATCAAAAGAGAGGACTTTGCAAAACTAAGGAAAAATAGCAGGGTATTTGTCATTGGTTATTGGCAACAATGATCTATCAATGATTCCATTTGTTTATACCAGTGATATTTTTGACCAACGTCCAGTCTATTATTTTAAATGAAAAGTGATTAATTGAATCATCCCTCAGTGCCAGGTCAAGGTGTAGCCTGTGTTAAAGCTTGCACTCCACTTCACTTTTCTAGACCAGACTTCCTTAGATGCCATTGAGCATCTGATGACAGTGAGATAAGCACTAAGATACACATATAACAAAACAGAGCCATTTAGCCGAAAAAAACCAAACAAAATAATGATTAAATTAACTCTCTCCTCCTCAGACTCTTATATCCTAAACGTATAGCATGCAACCACAGCTACACAGAACTTGCAGGAAAACTTACTCTGCATTCCCAGAAGAGCAACACATATAATTCAGTCAATTTACCCCCAGAATTTTGTGTTGCTTCTAGGCATGCAGAGTGGTT